AAAAAAAAAAAGAGCTGATTTTTATTTTTATTTTTTAACTTTCTTTAATAAGCAAACTGTACGTAGGAGATATAGACCAACTTGGAAATAATTAAATTCATTATTAATTGTGATTATAATCTGGTCATTTTGTTCATTCTCAAACTTATCAACACAGTTAAAAATATAAATTAATCGTTACAAGTTGAAATCTTCTTAATAAGACACCTGATAGTTTCAAGCGAGCTATATATATATAAAGGTATAAATCGAGCTGAATTAAGGTTTCGGGAGTTTGATATGCAATAATGCAAACCGTGGCCATTAAATTTTTTCATAAAATATGAATTCATCTTGGTTTGGAGCCCTAATTAGAAAGGTAATTATAGAAATATAAATATAGATATGTGTTAAAATCATGTTGTACACTGATAAAACTAGGAGATAATGCATAAAGTAGAGAAGAGAAAGATATGTATTTTCCATTGCTTGTAATTATAATGAGATTACATCCAATATATAGATGTTGCAAGAGATAAAAAACAATTTAAAATCAAATCAAATCAAATATCTAATTACCAAAATAACTACTACCAAATCAAGATCATATCAAACCAAAGATATCTTAACAGAATAACTAAACTCTATCTTAACACCCCCTCTCAAGTTGGTGCATGAAGATATCGAATGTCCAACTTGCTTAGAAATTTCGAGAAATCCTGGCCACCCAATACTTTGGTGAAGATGTCTGCTAGCTGAACTTTGGTAGAAACATAATCAGGAGCGATAAGTGGACCGAAGGATTGAAGGACTGAAGAACAAAGGACCAAAGGAACAGAGGACCGAAGGACTTGATCAATTGTATTTAATATCCAAAGGACCGAAGGACTGAAGGATTGAAAGACAGAGGACAAAGGACTTGATCAATTGTATTTAATATCCGAAGGACCGAAGGATTGAAGGACAAAAGGACAGAGGACAAAGGACTTAATCAATTGTATTTAATATCCAAAGGACCGAAGGTCCAAATAAATGAAAGACAAAAGGACAAAGGTCTTGATCAATTATATTTAATCATCTAAGAATCCATCTAATGGAGGAGGAATCGAACCATCTAAGAACGAGATTTTTTTTTTTCGTACCCGGAGAACAGTCCGGAAAGAAGAAGACATGACTGAAGTGTAGAAAAGGAAAAATATATTAATCGGAACAGCGGCGGTAAAAAACCATGGCTCTGATACCATGATAAAACTAGGAGAAGAGAAAGATATGAATTTTCCATTTCTTGTAATAATGAGAGTACATCCAATATATAGATGTTGCAAGAGATCAAAAACAATTCAAAATCAAATCAAATCAAATATCTAATTACCAAAATAACTACTACCAAATCAAGATCATATCAAACCAAAGATATCTTAACAAAATAACTAAACTCTATCTTAACATACACACATATTTTTCATCTTGATTTTCAAAATCATATCATGTTATAGAAGTCATGTTGTACACACATATTTTTCAATAAAATTCATTATCTTAACATTCATATACTTTTAATTATCAATAATTCATAATCATTAATTTACTATTTCTTATATTACTTCAAATTTAATTATTATATTTTATCTCACATTATTTAGCAAACTAAAAAACAATTAATTATTCCACTAATTTTTTTTCTACTTTTTTCATCACTGTGGAGACGATTTTTTCCCCAAAATTTATCTATAGAATTATCTTTTTCCACATAGTTAATAGATTATTAATATTTATTGTTTGAAAAGTGAAATTCAAAAATATTTTCTAATATAAATTTTAATTAGTAGTCCTTATGATTTTATAACGCTATTTTATTATAAGTGCAAATTAAATAATGGTACAGAAAGTGACTATATAAAAAAAGACGAATGAAAATGACTACCAGTGAAAGTGCAAAAATGCAACATAATTTATTTGCTAATGCTTCCAATATAGAACTTTAGATTAGTAGTAGTATAATTTATTGAATAATTCATACTAAACAGTCCATCATACAATTAGGAATCCTTTACAATATACAATTAACATATTCAATGAATTGAATGCATTGTTCAGAACATGTAAACCGTAATAATTAATTGTATTTATTTATTAATATTATGAGCATCTTTATATGATTAGCTTCATGATTAATTGCCTTAGATATTGTGGATTAAATAATTAACTAACATATCGAGCTTGTCGATATGACCAGTCAAGATTATGAGTATAAATAGACGAGAATATACGGACCTCATATGAGGCCATGTGACACTTAAATAAGTAATTTAATTTAACGAACTAAGCTCTATTTATTAATTAGTACAATGATTAAACCGTTAACGTTAATGATATCTATAATTGGCTTGAGGCCGAAAGGCAATTTGCCAGAAGATTAGTTGCATGCTAGCTCTTGGTTCTCCTTACCCAAATTGAAAAGGAACAAGTAATTAAAAACAAACTAAATAAAAACTACTTGAATCCATAAACAATCATCTTTAAACAACTTACTAATCAATGACTATTTGATAATAATATATATAACTGTTAACAAAAAATTTAACCAAATTATTTGTTAACATGTTGTACGGCCTGGTGAACAGTGCTTAATCAATAGAAAACACTAAGTTTTCAAAAATCGTTTGGAATTTTTCAAACACATTTTTCGTTTTGAAACACTTTTCGGACATTACTCTAATCTCTTTCTTTTCTTTTCTTAGCTTAAGTCATCCCTTACGCCCTTAGGGAATTCATTTTCCTAACTTTCGTTTCACATTTCAATAAAAACGAGACAAATAAAATCCTCATTCATAAATAGTCTCGAAACACCAGTCATAACCATAGTTCGATCCAAGAATCTTAATTCGAGCTAATGGTGCACCATTCCGACTTCCAATCGAGCTCTGAATATGTTAAACTGAACTGTAACCAGCTTCATCTCTTCAAATCGAGCTAACTCTTACTAGTTTTTATATCACATTAAACTAATTAATACAAACAGATGCATCATGAGTATAATATAACTAGCTAGAAAAACCCAACTTCACGGAGCTTGCTTATCTATAATATGCATTTTTATGGTAGAAATATAGAAATTGGAATACAGTATTTAAATATATAAATTAACTGTTATCCAATAACTCCATAACAAAACTGACTGTAATACTTTTCAGACAAATACTATATTTTCATGATTTTCTAAATCCCATGCCTTATTATATCGTGGACAGGGACAAAAGAGGCATGTTGATTGCTCAATGCATTTTCGAAGGAAGAAGAAAGCTGATTGTCAGTATGTCGTGCTTTCACACGGCCAATTGCTCCTCTTAATCTCACTCACTACAAACAATTTCCAATCTCACAAGTACACAATTTCAACAGAAAAATGAACAATAATAATAATGATAATAATAACAAACCTTACCCCATAGAAAAATAAGAATTTTTTTGTTGAGTAGAAGCTAATGATATACTTCCTTGTTATAGTAAAAGGTAATGCTATACTCCCTTGTTATATCATCATCTGCACTAAACATCCCTTTTCCTTAAAACTGCAACCCAAAAACAGTAATTACAGATCACATGCTTGACAAGGTGATTTTCTTCTTCATATTTCAGCACAATCTTTATATTCAGAGAAAGAGAGAGAGAGAGGGATTGCATTGGGCGGAGTAGAGAGAGAAGGAAATGGTGGGTCTCGGTCAGAGAGCTTGTGGATTTTTGCTTGCTAGTGCCTAGTGCCTCTTTTCGTCTTTTTATTTTTCTTTTTCAATTTTTTTTTTTGTGTGGGTGTTGGGGGGTGGGAATATTTAAGTGTGGGAGGGTGTAGGTAAGCCCCCTGAGCCGACTAAGGTAAACTCCGGTCCGGAGTCAGTGGGCTTTTGCCGCCGACCAAGCAAACAACCTCTTCTTCATCTTCAAGTGAAACCTTTTTTATTTTATATATATTTTTAGTCTTTCAATTATAAAAAGGGAGCTAAAATCTTGCTCAAGAACCCCTCTTTTTCTTTCTTACTCATTATCTCTCTCTCTCTCTCTCTCTCGCTCTGTGTCAAGATTCGGTCATACAAAGCCATACACATTTTTTCTAACCCCATCTTCGAGATCCCTTTTTCTTGTCTTTCATCTGGAAGCTCAAAAATCTGGTCTTTCTTCAGAATTTTTTTTTTTCCTTCTTACACATTTTTTTCGGCCATTTCTAGGGTTTATCTTTATTTTTTTCGATTTCGTGTCGGGTTGGATCAGTTGGGGGATGCAATCTGGTGTGGTGCATTTTGCTGTGTTCGGTTGAGCAGCTAGGAAGCTTATTTTCCCTTCTTTTTTCTTTTTCTTTTATTTTTTTTTTCTGTACCTAAGAAGAGGAAGTAAAAAAACAGATCTTTTGAGCTGGGAAGGATGAAGTTTATGAAGCTTGGATCCAAGCCAGATGCGTTTCAGTCTGAGGAGAACAATATCAGGTCAGATCTGTGTTCATCATCTAAAGTGTGGTTTAATGTTTTTTGTATCTTTTACTATGATTCATTCACACATACTGTTTGTAGTTCTGCTTTTATATCTCATTTTGGTTGTTTGTTGTTTCTGCTTGCTTTAGCCCCATATATATATATATATCTGTGTCTGTAGAACTTTGCTTCTCTTGGCCAGTTAATGTTGTTTTAGTAGTCCCCACCAATTTATCATTGTTTTTTTTTGGCTCTTTGTAGATTGTCAAACTCGTATTTGCTGATTTGCAGAATCTGTAGTTACTATCTATATTTAGCTCATTCAGCTTTTGTTGATTTGTACTCTTTGGTAAAGAAGTCTAGCATTTGAGCTCGGGCGATTCCGTTCGTCCCGAAAGAAAGCAGATACAGTTGAATTACTGCAATGCGTTAAACATGACTTTTGTTGGTATTCCGTAAAATGAAGTAAAGATAGTTTAATCCATATTCACATTCAGTTGTAGATGGCTTATGTTGAAATCTCACAGTTCAAAACTACAAACACACATTAGCTCTGCTATTTCATTTATTGCTTCCTATAGATCGTACCCTCGTATTCCTTATTCCGCTGCACGTGTTTGGTTATGGCATTATCACTATGGATAAATTCGTTTCTTGCGTTTTACTGCTCCAAAGCTTTTNNNCAATTAAAAACCGAAAATCAAATCTCTTCTGCAGATATGTGGCCAGCGAGCTCGCAACAGATGTCATCATTCAAGTTGGGGATATCAAGTTTTACTTGCACAAGGTACATTTTTTTTTCTAGTTACTCTTCACAACCTAACAAAAAACAATCGAAAGTTCAAATCTTTGAACTCAAAATCGACGAAAATCGCCCTTTAAACACATTACATCATCAAACTTGCAGTTTCCACTCCTCTCGAAAAGTGCCCGCCTGCAGAAGCTCGTCTCGTCATCTCACAATGACGAAATTGCCCTCCACGACATCCCGGGTGGACCAGCCGCTTTCGAGACGTGCGCTAAATTCTGCTATGGGATGCTCGTTACCCTCAACGCCTACAATGTGGTCCCCACTCGATGCGCGGCCGAGTACCTCGAAATGCACGAAAATGTCGACAAGGGCAATCTCGTCTATAAAGTCGACGTCTTTTTAAGCTCCAGCATCTACCAGAGCTGGAAAGACTCGATTATCGTCCTCCAGACCACAAAATCCCTCTTGCCGTTTTCCGAGCATCTCAAAATCGTCAGCCACTGTATAGACGCCATTGCCAGCAAGGCCTCGACTGATATCTCGAAAGTCGACTGGTCCTACACTTATAATCGGAAAAAAGCGATCGAGGAAAATGGTAATGGGCTGAGGACACGAGCTATCCCGCTCGATTGGTGGGCCGAGGATTTGAGTGAGCTCGAGATCGACTTGTACAAGAAAGTGATTTTGGGTATAAAAGACAAAGGGCTTGTGCCGAATGAGGTAATTGGTGAGGCCTTGAAAGCTTACGCGTACCAAAAACTGCCTGCCTCGGGGAAAAACGTGGTTCCACAAGATGAACTTCCTAAATTCCGTAAAATTTTGGAAAGTGTAGTGTGGCTTTTGCCAGCCGAGAAAGGTTGCGTCTCGTGTAGCTTCTTGCTCAAGCTGCTGAAGGCGGCCGTATCGGCTGAATCAGACGAGAGGGTAAAATCGGAACTCGTGAGAAGAATCGGGCAGCAGCTGGAGGAGGCCTCGGTTAACGATCTCTTGATCCGTGCATGCGACGGTGCGGAATTTATTTACGATGTCGAGATTGTCCGGAAGATTCTGGAGGAGTTTGTGGCGCAGGGTAGGAATTTCGAGATGGAGATGGAAAAAAATCGAGGCGAGATTCAGGAGATGACGAAGAAGAGGCCCTGGATTATTTTATCCGAAGCTTCGAAGCTGATGGTGGCGAAGCTCGTGGACGGTTATCTTGCAGAGATCGCGAAAGATCCGAATCTGCCCCTCTCGTCGTTTGTCGGGATCTCGGAGATGGTTTCGGGCTTTTCCCGCCCAACCCACGATGGTTTGTATCGGGCCATCGATACATATCTCAAGGTAAAACGATTAAACGAACCTCCCCTTTAAAATCATGCTATACATTTTATGCAAGTTGGCAATTAGGGTTGTAAACGAATCGAATAAAAGCGAATACTAAGATATTCTATTCGGATTCGTTAAAATATTTGAGGATTCGAATTCGTATTCGATTTGAAAACGAACTCATTTCTTGACTCGTATTCGATTCGATTCGAAATTCGTTTTCAGAATATTATTGTAATTAAAAAAAGATTATAATTTAGAAAAATATTTTATGTTTTTCCTATCTAATTTGAGATGTTTTTTGGGCAACTTGTTAATTTGGGATGTTTTTTTCATTTTGTATAATAAAAATATTAGGAATATAAATACACACATATATATACTATAAACAAAGTTTATATATAAAAATTATATAATTATTGTTAACGAATCGAATATTCGATAATTTCGAATCGAATATCTACGAATTCGAATTCGGATTCGTTTAACTTTCGAATATAAAATATTATTCGTATTTGAATTCGAATATCTCGAATTTGAATTACGAATGTCGAATCGAATAAAAAAAATCGATCTGTTTACAACCCTATTGGCAATAATTTAAATACCTCAAACCTCAGGGACCATTTTGCAAAATTTAATCTTTTTTTCTCAGGAGCACCCGGGGATCAGCAAGAGTGAGAGAAAACGCATTTGCCGACTAATGGACTGCAAGAAGCTTTCAGCAGACGCTTGTATGCACGCAGTCCAAAACGAGCGTCTTCCCCTTCGAGTAGTCGTTCAAGTCCTATTTTTCGAGCAGGTCCGGACAGCAGCCGCAGCCTCATCCTCCGGCAGCTCGACTCCAGACCTCCCGAAAGCCATTAAAGACCTAAACGGAAGCTCGCGCTCGACTACGACAAACACTGATGAGGATTGGGATGCTGTGGCCTCGGCAGACGAGCTCCGAGCTCTTAGGGGTGAGCTGGCGGCCTTGCGTCTGGGCAATAATGGGCTTTCGAACGAGAGGGATTTGGGCCGGGCTGGGATTGGTAAGGTTAAGGGTTTGATGATGTCGAGGAGGATTTTGTCCAAGATTTGGTCGGGTAAAGGGGAGAATAGCGGGTCGGATTCGTCTGAAAGTCTTGGGTCGGGCAATAATTACGGTCAAGATGAGGGGAAGAGCACGCCGTCGAGGAAAGTGAGGCGTTCGGTTTCTTGATTTGGAAAGGTTTGTGGAGAGTCTCCACTTCTGGATAGTGTTAGTCTGTTGTTTTTTTTTTTTTTTAGAGGGGTAAGCTAATTAATGGTGTGTGTTATGCAGGGGACTGATTTGAGTATGTGTTATGGGGACTATTTTTAATGTTTTGGTGTAAAGAGATATCTTTATTGATGTTCTGCTGACCTTTGTAGTGAGAACTGTCTGTGGGTATAAAGAGTATCCCAGGGAATCAGAAGAGCTTACTGTTGTTGAAATTCTTAGTTAAAACTGTTGTGTTCATTTGTTTTTGTGTACTTGGTCACTATTAGAAATCTTGATCTTGAACTTTTGCACTTGGCTCATGTGGTCAAGAATTTGGCATCAATATAAAGGATTGTATTCTGTAAATTTTATGATGCTTATCGTCCTGTACATCGAAGGAGTATACTAGCAACTGTAAAAGAAAACTGATTTTCATTTTGTAACTAGTGCGTGGCCCGTACGATGCACGGGAAAATAATATTACGATTGTATTATAAATTAAATATATAAATAATATTAATCATAATTTATCCATTGTTTTTAAATTAAACCGGGTTGCACACAATCCGACCGGATGGATCAAGAACCGGTTTATAACCAGTCTAATTCGCTTGAATAAAATATTTGCTCTGGAATCCGTCAACACCAGTCGGTTGGACTGGTAGGATTAATACGATTTTCTAAAAAAAATTTGTTGTATTTAAAATTATTTTAAATAAAATTACATATTTAAATAAAATAGAGATTTATATATTATTTATCAATTAGTTTAAACATTTGAATTTATAAATTGTTTAGATATCTAAGTAACATATTTTATTTAAATTTATTACAAAAGTACTATATATATATATATATTAAAATGTTTATAAATTAAAATCTGAACAAACCACAAATGATTTAATAAAATAGCTTGATCGTTTCGATGACGGTCCAGTTCTGAAAATCTTATATTTACTGTACATTAATAAAAATTATAATAAAATATTATTTAATTCACATAAATATTAACAAAATGATATATAAATATTCATAAATCATTAAACATGTTGTCATAAAAGTATTGTTAATACGATTATTTGAAGTTTGAACTACATCACATTCATGTAATAACATATTTTCAATATAAAACTTATATTTAGGTTCAATAATCGATTTGATGTGGTCGAACTGTTACATAACTTAGTCACCTGGGACCAACCAAGTTGTGTCAATTTTTTTGACTATTTTAATTATCACCGAAAAGTAATTCAATCAACCTGGGCAGTACCCTAATTCAATCACCCGATTGATCCGAAGAAAATTTCTTATTTTCTTTAAATATATTTAATTTTATGAAATAAAAATATTTTATGACATATAATAAATGTCTACACCAAATGATAGTATATTAAGATTATATATTATATATCTAAAGATGAATTAATTATTTTTACTTTATGCATATTAATTAAAAATAAACATAGTAATTTCAAAAAAATTAAGATTAATTGATTGATTATGCAATTTAAATAATATTTTTTGCGTTCAATATGTTTTTTTAACGGCACAAATATAAAAATCGAGATTCTAAAATTTTTGTTATATTTTGAATTGAGATTTTATAAATATGGAGACCGAGATTTTAATGTTGTTCGTTGTTTCTAAGAAAAAGAAATAAAAATAAAAACATACACATTTAATAAATCTTAACCGAATTTTTTAAATAATAAAACAAACTAAAACCCGAAATTTAAGGTAACATTTAATGTTGTATGATTTTTAAAGAAAAAAAAATAAGAAAAGTAATAAAACTTACTATATATAGGCTGCATTAAATTCTGACTTATTTTTTTGCTACTATTTTTGGTAAATGTTAATTCTTATTATATATATATAGATTAGACAACCACTTGCAGTTGCAGGTTTTGTATTCACATTTCAAACACTCTCTGCGCATGTTATTCGTAGACCAACATTTCTAGTAAATAGTTTGTACATAATGGAGTCGCTCAATTTGTAAAACCAGACAACTTGAAGCTAATCTACTATTAATAATTAATATTAATATATGCATTAAATGTTTTTTTAAACAAACGTGCTAGCCCACGAGCCCACCTAGCCTATCCCGTCAAAGCCAACGACCGTGCAAGCTGGCCCATTTAAGCCCACTTAGCTCGGCCCATCCTTTTGAAGGAGCAGGGCGGCCAACATGCGGGTGTAAGCCCATTTTTATAAGTCTAGTCATTAACGTATATTGTGAGTGCACTGTCACATTTGGGAAGTAGGTTGTGGGTGTAATGCTGACTTTTACATATCCGTGTAAAATTGTCATGTTCTCGAAAGACAGTAGAACCATCATAAGTGCTGGTGAGCTCTCTGAAACCCCTGGATAATTCTGCCTCAAGCACCTCCTGGGCGAAAGGATGACCTCGCACCTCCCAGCTCGCTTTCCTTCTACCTTGGCGTGCAACTCCTAGATCTGAGTCGTCATCCTCTCAACTGTCAGGTCGCGTTTAGTTCTTTGGGTCGAACTGCTTGATATTTCGACCTCCTCTCTCTTTGTCAGTACAGTGAGGTTCACTGCACTCGACACCTGTGGTTGAGCAAACCTGGCTGCAGCAACTTCTGCAATCATCCGGTTGAGCTCATCTCTTGTGACCATCACAATCCTGCTCATCTATTACAACACCTTGTCGATGGTCTTCTCCCGTTGTTATGAGGTGGATCTGGTTGTGCCAAAAGTACTGGTACCACCTTCGTACCCGATGGAAATCTTGGTGATCGATGTTAAAAACGGATCTCGAAAAGCCTCGTGGTGAGCCTGCTCCGAGCAGGCGACTGGACACCCAAGTTTCGTCAAAGCTGGGTTCCAGGTGTTTTTATGGAATCACCGCTCGCCATTGCTGGTATCTGACGGCTTTTTGAACAAAAGTTCCCAAATACGGCGCAAATGGTGTATAAACAACCTCGATTTGATCCATCGTCCCAGTCCTTAAATGCTGGAATTACAGCAAAACAACAATGATAGTTGTCCCGATGGAGAAGCTCTGATGCGATAGTTGTCCCGGCGTAGAAGCTCTGACGCTTTAGTCAGTATTTTAAGATGATGGTGTATATGATGTATATATAAAGTCTAGATTATTCAGAGTGTGTAGAGATAATGATCATACCTCACTCTTTTATATAAATATGTTACCTAATTTAAATTATAATTTATTCACATCATCTTTAATATTAGGTCGCACAACGCACAGGTGGCATACTAGTTTTAAGTATTCATATACTCTGGATCGATTACACAACGCACAGGTGGCATACTATTTTGTTTATCAGTAATGCTATTACTAAGGAGCCAACTGTTGGCTCCGTTATGGAACCAACAACCAATGGGACAACTCCATGTGAGGCTGTCCCACATGGCTCCAATGTGGGACAGCCCCACATGGAGCTATCACATTGGCTGTTGGCTCCATAACAGAGCCAACAATTGGCTCCTTAGCATTATTGTTTATTCACATCATCTTTAATATTAATCCTTGAACAACAAAGTACAACTCCTAGCTTGGTAACTCTCCCTAAATATTCAAAATTTCTATGTCAAATTGTTTTGTAAATGATATGTCACACAAATAGATGTNCATTAACAGAACCAAACCATCATCTTTAGAATTGTTCAAGAAACCGCCATCCACAGCTCAACGATACTGCACATGGACAAATAAACAAAAACCGAAACTCAATTCAATTCATCACACAAATGTGATTCCAGGTATGTTATCAACAAAGAAGCTATACGATGATTACTAAAAGGAAAAAAGGAAAAGGAAAGAAAAAACTAAGAAGGTAACATAATGAATACCTTGATGAAGCCGATTTCCTTGGCATTGCTGCGAAAACACTGCCTGCAGCACATCAGACCATACTTCCTAATGATGGCGTGTGGGTTACCACAAACCCGGCTTACCAAAAGAAAAACGATAAAAGTTCAATAATCCTTAAACCGTAACTATAGAAAAATCTCAATCGAGATGAAGAATGCAATTTTAGATTGTTTTTTGCATCCTGAGTTTATAAGGCAGCACCTTATTTATGGTAGTCAGCTGGAGTAACATTAAGCAAAAAATACAAGTGGAAATGAGTGAATGCAAGGGACTATTACAAAAGTAAGAAAAAAAATGCACATTATTCTACACATATCCTTCGAGTAAGCATCTGTAATGGGTAGTTTCAATGCTATTTTCTTCGAAAGAATCTTGCAAATTCATTCAACCCTTCTTTTAGCAGGGATCCATAGAAGACAAATCTGCCATAATCGACTGTTGCCCCCTCAAATATTATCTTCTTGATGAGAAGAATTTATACTCTTCATAGAAAAATAACAGATTGAGGGAATTGCGTTTTTTTAGCTTCAGAATTATGTAATCTAACTCGAACCCCTTGAAGAACTTACTACTTTTTTCAATAACTTTCAAAATGCAACAATCTAAAGCTACACCAAAACACCAATTATCACAAGTCGCCCAGTAAACTATATGACTTATCAGCGTCATAAACACGATTGCAGAACAAACATGGAACACACGGGCCGAAAACAAAAGCATGAATAGATTAAAATCGAGTCGAAGCATATAAGAGAAAAACTGAGAGGTACCAAGCGCGAGAACCAGGGCCGTAAGTCTTGGGGTGAGTGTTCCAAATGTTGGTGTGCCCCATCTTTTTTTCTGCTGCTCAATTCACAGAAGCCGCCGGATTATTACTCGCAGTCGTTCTCAAAAATATGAACTTTAGCCTTTTTGTTAGAGTTGGTTTGTGCGTTTTTATATGAGCCCAAAAACCTAACCTAATTTTCGAAATGGGTGTTTTTATAATGATTTTATATTTTCAATTTTGCAACTCGACATCATAAATATTTAAAAAAAAATAAAAAATTCTCTTCTTAAGAAATTCCCCCTTTTCTACGCGTTCTCCCTAAATCGGCGTCACTCTTGTCTTCTCAAGCGGGGCCGTCGGACCTTTTTTACAACGGTCGGCTCTGGACCGCACGGCTCGGCCCTTGGATTTCACAGTTGGTGTCCGCCTTTTTGCGTCGGAGGAGTTGGTTCCGCATACTTAAGTGGATTGTGTCGTATTCTAGTTGCGATCTCGGGGAGGTGGGTTGCTGGCTTCCTTAGTGTCGAGGCGGTGGCGGGCTTCGTGTTTGTGCGGGGGTGGTTGCGGCTCCGACTGCCATTGTGGCGGTGGTCGAGACAGAGGATCGGTGGGCTTGTGCCCCCGTGTCCTCTTCTCCCCTAATGTTTGGGCTAAGGGGACGGCTGAGTAGTCAGGTCCGAGTCCGTTGATGTGGGCTGGTTTTCGGGGCGTTGGTGGTATGGGGGTGTTTGTTTAGTGTTCCTCTGGCTGCGGGTCTAGGGTCGTTCGCCTGGGCGCAGGGTTGGGTTTTTTGGTTTCGGCTCTAATTAGGCGTGTTAGACAGTTTCTGGAGTTGCAACTTGGGTCGTCGTTCAGTCCATATGTGTGGTCGATCGTGGGTGTTGCCGTCATGTTTTGCTCGGTGTGGCTTGTTGTCTAAGGAAGAGCCGTAGTCTAGTTATAGCGAGATATGTGTTTGTGTATTGTGTGTAGTAGGCTTTCGTGTTTTGTGTTTTTTCTCCCGTTCGGGAGCGTGTGTTCTGGGAGTGGTTATTCTCCATTATTGGAGTTTGGTAGTTTTTTTTTTAGTTGGTGGGTGCGTTGTTTAGTTTTGTCCTATTGTAGTTTCTAGGAAATCTACAGATCCGTCTTCTCATTAGATTCAGCTCTCTAGTTGTTTGTCGGGTTCGTTTCTAGTTATAATTTATACATTTGTGTTTTATCTATAAAAGTGTTATTATTATGAAAAAAATAAAAAAAAAAACTCTAGTGGACATCAAAATAGATTTTCAATTTGAAATGGGTTGACTTCTTTTAAATAATAATTTGGTTCTAATTCAAAAATGGTCGAACAACCTACTTAAGATGATCTTGAGCGCCCAAATGATTTTAGATTATTCTGAATTTGAACTTTGAACATACAATCGAGGTAGAGGATATGAATTTGATGAATCCTTGAAATTTATGGTTTGTATTGGAAACTGACATCTTATAATTCTGACATGTACCAAAACAAACCACCGGTAAAAAAATAGCTGACCCAAGGTCGACTCATGTTTTGATTAATTTCACTATTGATTCTGCATCTATTGAAAATGTTTTATATTTCAATGCTAACGAGGCAAAATCAAGGGCGTAATTGGATATGAGTTATAATTAATTTTAACCGATTAATTATGATTAGTTGGATTATTTCATATCAAATCATCTAATTCAAGGTGTGTTTGTATATAAAATAATTCAATTCATACTCAAAATCTAACTCAATTTTAACTCAAACACACTTCATCATCATTATCAATATAATTAAATAATATTAATCAAACATTTTTACTCATCACATCAACTTTAATCATTATTCATTAACTCACATAATTTTAACTAATCATCACTTAATATTATCTCTCCTACTTTTACATCAAATCAATTTTAATTATTTTATTTTAAATATTAATTTTATATACTCTAAATCACATTAACAACTAACAATACTATCTTTTTCAAAATTAAACATGGTTAGCAAAAAAAATTCGTTTTGAACCGATATATTTGTAACCATGCACGTCCTAATTTTTTCATACCTAATCTTGTTCAAAAATATTAACAAACTCTTACCAAAATATGAAAGGAAAAGAAGAAACAGTAATGCAAATAAGGACTACATCAATACAGTGTCGTATTAACACCCGTAACATCAACCATTTTTTTCTTTTCTTCTCACTGCACACATTGTATGTATACATTGTATGTATACAATCAATCCATCTGAGGATTAGTTAGGCTCCAACAATGAAAAATCGAAAAACAAAAAAATAATAATAAAAACAATAATTTTGTCAATAATAATATGATACCTGCTTCATTTTAGAGCATCGTCAAAATCCATCAAACTCCCAGTTAGATCACAAGCTCTTTGCTCACATTCTAACTTTCCCCAACGTGCATCGACTCGATCACACGGAAAAACGACTTTGCCTAGGCTGTTGCAAACAAACACCAATAAGCCGGAAANGGAAAAAAAAAAAAAAAAAAAATCCTTCTTTTTAAGGAAAAAAGAATTAGAAATAAAAAAATTAAAAGCTTTTTAACGGAAGCTAGATTTAGAAATGAAATGTTTCGAAGGTTACCTTCTATTAACCACATTGTGTACATGGCATAACCATCGGGAAAATTCTTGATGAGATCCAGCCTCAACAGGGTTTGCCCTGCATTGCATTTTGAATTATAGAAAGTCTTAACAAAAACAGTCCAAATGGAAATGCATACAAGGTAAAGTGATTTATACTGTTATTTTTATTTGCGCGTGAAGTAAAATTCTTCACTTTGGATGGGTGATGAGATAACCAAGATTTGCGTAAAATTGAAAAGATAAAACAAAAGGGCAGTTTATAATGAACAGTGGCAGGCACCTAATAACTTCTTTAAAGTGATCTGCACATTCCTTGCAAGGATACATACGAGATAATATTGCCATCTGCAGTAGAAAAACAAACGAAACATATAAACTACATTAGAAAAGCTCAGTGTAAAAAATTGATTAAAAAGCGAAAAAAAAAAGGAGGGGATCAAGAAAGAAACACTCTGATTTTGCTGAATCAACTCGGTCCTCGTAACAAATATGATGAATCACAGATACGGAAAAAGAAAATAAATAAATAAAAATAATTCGCTTTTAATATGAGTGCCAAACCATGCAAAGCAATGTATACCAGTTCTTTTACGTCCTTCTTCTGTTGCCTAGTCGGCTTATCTGGATACTGAGAAAAATAGAGAAAAATCACATCCGAACATATTAAAGGAAATTGCCAATGCAATGCAAAGAAAATTGTATCCCACGGTAGAAAGATTCGGATATTAATGACCTTCTAAATAAAGAAAGAAATAGATGATCGACAATGTCCAGTTTCCAAAAAAAGATGAAAAGGAAAAAAGGTGGAACTTTATCAAAGAACCTGAGCAGCTAGAGTGTGAAGAAAAGTCCAGGTGGCTCTTCCGAGTTCTTCTTTTGTAGTTGGACTGGACGACTCAACCTGAAAATAAATAAAGTTCCCAGAAAATAAAATAAACAAATAAATGAATAAAAGAAAGCATGGAACATAAACACTGAAGCATCGTTATGATGTTTTGCCACGGATATACATGATATTTGCTAATGAATCAAGAATAAATGTTTCTTTTACATTCATATGGAAGTATGAGAGACCAAATTTAGTAATTCACTGGTGCTGATGATGCCTACATGAACACCGTTTTTTATAGCAGAAATGTCTTATTGCTTACTAGATTATACGAACAAAATATGAAGTAGAGGGCTACTGCACATTAAATAATTGAAGTTCACAAACAACACAGTTTAAACAGAGAAACACCAATATAACGCACATCCTACAAGCGAAAGACATTCAAAAGAAAACAAAAAGGAAATACACGATTAAGTAAAATGAATAAAACAACAGCCTTAACTTCCTCATATTTCTGCTCTCCATTGGAAGTGAAACTAAATAAACAAATAAATAAAAATCAAAAAGAAAAGAGGAAAAATAGTTCATTCAGGAATTTTATCAAACACTTGACAAACATCGCCCGGAAGCTCATTCTGCTTCAAGGGCAAAGACATCAAATCACCGGATAAGTACAACTGTACAACATTCGGCAGGTATTTACATAGACGGAGCTGAAAAAAGAGCGACCTGTACACGGGTTTCGGCCGGTCGGAGATTAGAAGTGGAGCTCTGGTTTTTGACGAGTGAAAGTGAAGGGCCGCCGGGACGAAGTAGGAACTGAGAGAGATGACTCTGGACACACTGCGAGACTTTACCAATCGCTTGGAAGAGGAGCTGAATCGGATTTTCCGACATTGTTGAATTGTGAGACAACAATGGCTATTTTCTTTGTTTTTATACCCAACTCAATTTTTTTATGACTTCCAGTCGTGGGAGTTAAATTGACTTGTGCTTGTGAGTGTAATTTTTTTTTTTTTTAACTGGATAAAGAACTTATATTGATTGATGAAAAGATAATCGTTACATAAGTCAAGAAGAAAAGGCGGACACCTTTCAAAAGAAAATGGAGCTTGAAAACGAAGTAAAAGACGCAATAGCATGAGCAACTTTATTTGTCGATCGACGCATATAAGTTGTCTTGTTGTTGCTGATGTTTCAGATAAATAAGTACGAATATCATTAGCCCATGACTGAGTGTAGCCTCGTGACTCATTGATGTCGGCAACTGCTTGTACCGCCAACAATGAGTCTGAGAAAATTTGAAGAAGAATTTGCTTCAATTCAGCACAATTTTCCAAATCGTGTTTAATGGCTAAAAGTTCACATTTAACTGAGCCCAGATTACTGACAGGCCTTCCAAACGCAAATAGCGGACTTCCTTGATCATTCCTAACGATTCCACCGATACCAAATCTCCCTGTTTTCATTTGACACAAGCATCCACATCAAGTCGGACTGAGTTTAATGATGGAGGATTCCAGCCTAAACTTAGGCCATGTTTGGTAGTCAAATAAGCTAGCTTATAGCTTATTTGATTAACTTATAAGCTCCCTGTATTCAAATAAGCCTCGTTTGGTAGGACGAACTTTTTTAAAAAGCTCGAGCTTATTTGATAAGCTTTTTTAGGTAGCTTTTCAAATAAACTAGTTAAATTTTTTATTCCAGCTAGCTTATCAGCTAATTTACCAAACACTTTTATCATGTAAGCTAGCTTTTCAGCTATAAGTCATAAGCTATAAGCTATAAACTAAAAAATTCTCGATAAGCTATAAGCTAGCTTATCAGCTAATTTACCAAACATAACCTTATTCTCCTGGTCTTGGGGTAACTTAGACTTTCGGTTGTCCCCTGGAGCGACTATATTAGGACAACACCCATGTACTACACGAATATTTAAGTAAATAATATTTGCATAAAAATATTTTTAGAAAAAATCTATTAGTTAGTTTGTCTTATTAATTAAAAATATTTTCATACAAAAGTTTAGAAGGAGGATTTATTACTATAATTTTATCATAATAATCCGTTTGAGTTCACTTGAGTGATTAGTTGCACACTTGCACTCTTATATTTGGAAGACATTCATACACTTTAGACTTATAAGAGAGATCTAGAGTCATCTTCCTCCCAAAAGAGTTCTAAAGGTGCTAGGATATTCAATAGAAGATTCCAAGGTAATCAAGCACTGGACCAACACCAGCCGAGCACCCAACCACTGTCGGCCACTGTGCATCGCTTGAGTGATTATTATTATATTTTTATTAAAATAATTACTAGTTCTCCCACTATATTTTTTTATTAATAATAAATTTCACTACATCCAATATCAAATTTCACTACTAATTATACATGTCTCACTATATCCAATAAGTTCAATGCTATTTGTGTGGTGATTTAGTTATATTACGTATGTTGATTCAAATAATAATAAATAAATCTCAATTCTGCTTAGCTTGAGACCTTTCCAGTTACCATTAATGACCTCACTGTTAATAAGGCTGAGTGTAGATGTCGGCAACTGCTGCATCTTCTCCATTCCTTCACGCGCTCTCTGCATACGAAAATCAATCTAATCAATCCCTCCAACAGAATCACTCAGTTTCGATTTGGGAATAGGGTTTATACAACACTACCCCAAACCCCTCTCGCTGTCCGTGGATGGGTGAGGAGCGAATGGTCGCCAACAAAAAGCTCACGATCCTGCCCCTCATCGCCCTAATCTTCTACGAGGTCTCCGGCGGCCCCTTCGGCGTCGAGGACTCCGTCAGATCCGGCGGCGGCCCCCTCCTCTCCCTCCTCGGCTTCCTCGTCTTCCCCTTCTTCTGGAGCATCCCGCCTCCTGGTCACGGCGGAGCTCGTCACCAGCTTCCCGGCCAACGGCGGCTACGTCCTCTGGATCTCGTCGGCCTTCGGCCCCTTCTGGGGCTTCCAGGAGGGCCTCTGGAAGTGGTTCAGCGGGGTCATGGACAACGCGCTCTACCCAGTCCTCTTCCTCGACTACCTCAAACGCTCCTTCCCGGTTTTCGAACAGACCGCCGCCCGGATTCCGGCCCTGCTGGCCATCACGGTCGTGCTGACGTATTTGAACTACAGAGGACTTCACATCGTGGGCTACTCAGCCGTCTTACTCGCTTGTTTCTCACTTTTCCCATTTCTCGTGATGGACATTTTGGCCGTACCCCGTGTCCAGCCCAGGAGATGGCTTGCCATGGATTACCGGAGAGTGAGCTAGCGGGGCTACTTCAATAGCCTTTTCTGGAACTTGAACTACTGGGATAACGCCAGCACGCTGGCAGGGGAGGTCGAGAATCCAGCTCGGGCTTTCCCCAGGGCCCTGTTTGGTGCAATTGTTCTGGTTGTGTGCTCGTATTTGGTTCCTCTGCTTGCCGGTACAGGGGCTGTTCAGACGGACCCCGGAGATTGGAGTGACGGGTATTTTGCAGAGGTGGGAATGGTGATCGGAGGCCACTCAGGCAGCGGCTGCCTTCTCGAACTTGGGTCTGTTTGAGGCTGAGGTGAGCAGTGATGCTTACCAGCTTTTGGGGATGAGCGAGATTGGGATGCTGCCAGCAGTGTCTGCTTCCAGGTCAGTTTATTATTGGGTTTGTCTGTCATCTTGATTTTTGAATATTTTTTGGGGAAGTTTTAGCTTTCGATTTTTACTGCCGTAAGGAATTGTTTGTGTTCAATCCGGTATACATATTTGGCTTTAGTTGAAGATTGTGGATTCATGTGAATGGGTTAAGTTTTGTTCAATCCATTTGTATGTTCCTTTTAGGGTTTTAGTTGTATTTAATGAACAACTCGTGTAGCCCGCTATCAGCGACCGTGCGTTGATATGATATGGATATGTTATTGACATGATATAGGAAAAATGTAGATTGCAGAGTGTGATGGAGGAGTGGAACTGGAAATCTGGATCCTTTGTGGCAATATTATGTGTTTTCTTTGAGGAATTTACTTTGTATATGAGGTTCATTTTTGTCGAGCCCCATTGAGGAACTCTGTGTTGATGTTTTGAGGATACAACAGCACGTGTAAACTTTCTTTAAGTAACATGATGGTAGATGCTAGAGACTCATATAGCTTTACATCAGTAGATTTTTTAGCAGCTGCATTGGACAAATTTAGTCATTTTATCTGAAATTCGATGCTTTAGTTTGTCTTTGCACATTTATTTGTTTGGTATTCATAAAAGAATCATGGAGGTTTACTTTTTCCTTCTATTTTTTTTTTTTATTAATCATCCCTTATTTAGTCTAAAGTGTAGTATAAAATTTACTTTTTCCTAGTTTCCAAATCATTTAAGACCCCTTAATCTTGCAGATCAAAATACAACACGCCCACATTCAGCATCTTGTGCTCTGCATCAGGCGTGATACTCCTATCTCGAATTCCTCAACTTCCTTTACGCAATCAGCATGCTTTTTGAATTCGCTGCATTCATAATGTTACGAATAAAAAAACCAGATCTACACAGACCCTACCGAGTCCCCCAACAAACTATTGGCTCGATTTTCCTCTACTTGCCACCTGTACTCTTACTGGCGCTCGTCATGTCCCTTGCGTCCCTTAACACATTCCTGGTCAGTGAGGTCGTGATTTTGTTCGGGTTTGCTCTTTATCCAGCTTTGATTCAAGCAAATGAGAGAAAATGGGTTGATTTCCACACACATATTGGATTAGGCTCGGTTGGGGATAATCTCGAGAGACAAGGGGTTGTGTTGGAAGACGAGCAAGTTAGTGACGAGGCAGCTCGAGGCCTTTTAGTAGGATCGTCTACTGATTTTTCACACGAGGACTTTGCAAAATCGGAGTAGATTAAGTTTACTTGTAGATGGTGTAATAATTTCTAAAGGTATCGTCTCCCTATGCACTGGGCATGGCCCCAGTGGCTCGGCTTGGCCTATCTATCGCTGCTTTTTTTTTTACGCTACTCTTTTCGGATCAAAGAATGCTATGGCCAAAGATTGATTCAAAATCGAACCTCCATCCAACGGCTTATTTTACGCCTTGCTCGCACAGCCTCTGGCCCAGATGTTGACATTGTTCTGGGGTTCGTTTTAGGTTTCTTCACCTGGATATGGAATCCGGGGAGAAAGGAAATATTCTGCATATGGCGGGCGGGTATTTCTAGAGACGGTCTTCGTCATTTGGGGCATTTGGGTCAGTTCGACGCGACAGACGCCTGGTCGCTCTCTATCGTGTTTGCTGCGATGGTTCAAGCCATATGTGTCTATAATTTGGTGATTGTGGCCTCTACGATTGCTTAGCATCAGTTTTTATTTCAGGTATCTATCTGCTATGTGTTCAGAAAATGGACACAAGTTTTATTGCCACCATTGACAGACAACAATGACTTAGGCCAAGTTTGTATCCATTTTCTGAACACATACCAGATAGATACCCGAAATAAAAGTTGATGTTAAGCTAGAGGCCAACGTTCTCATAGATAATCACCAAATTAGACACATATAGCATGAACCATCACAGCAAACACGATAGAGAGCGACCAAGCGTCTGTCACGGCCGAACTGACCCAAATGCCCCCAATGACGAAGACCGTCTCTAGAAATACCCGCCATATGCGGCATATTTCCTTTCTACACGGATTCCAGCTCCAGGTGAGGAAACCTAGAACGAACCCCAGAACAATGTCAATATCTGGGACAGGAGCTGTGCGAGCAATGCGTAAAATAAGCCGTTGGATGGAGGTTGGATTTTGAACCAATCTTTGGCCATAGCATTTTTTGATCCGAAAAGAGTAGCGTCAAAGAAAAGCAGCGAAAGATAGGCCAAGCCGGGTGCATAGGGAGAAGATCCATCATGCAAGAATTGAAGGTATCGAATGGAAATTAGGTAGATTACTGTTGACATTAGCCATTAGGAAGGTGGAGAGTTTTTTTTAGCAAGCAATTTTACTATTTACACATTTGATAAGGGTTTTAGCTATTTTTGTTGTCTGTTAAGAGTTTGATATGATTTTTATGGCTGCTAACACTATATGTTGTAAAGAGAACGAGCCTTGCAGTGTGCCATATATGGTTGGATTTCCATTAAGAATGGAATTAGATGTTGATGTGAAATACTAATAGAATTCATCCATTTTCATTACTGGTTGGGCAAACCCTAAAATCATATTCTAAAGCATGTCATTCTTATCATAATCATATTCGTACTTATCGACTATCTAACGTGTTCACATTAGGTAACCATTCTAAGCATTGTCGAGCTAACAGCTCGATTTCTCCTATACTTAACCGTTCTGGTCTTCATTGAGAATACTTAACCGTTCTGGTCTTCATTGAGCAAGTGTGCCTTTTTGGTCTCTCATTGACCTCTCCACTTGACTATCCTATAGTCCTAGATCGACCTGTTGCTAAACTGATTTGCCTTTGAGGTCCTAATCGATCTGCTGGAGTCCTCTCTTGACCTTGAGTCTTCATGTTCTAACCGAATTGATGGTTACTCGAACCGCTCGAGCTGCTCTCAGGTCGCAGTCTAGTGGTTGGTATAGTATATCATAGCACATTCTGTCACCTTTAGAAAGTAGGTTTGAAAATTGAATTCTTGGATATGGAAACAACGGACAGAGGGGATCCAGAAGCTGGAGGGAAGATGAGGTGGCCAACGACCGTCACAGGAATCGGGGAGACGACAGAATGGTGAGGACATATCTAATCTCCACGAGGCTCCGGGAATGGCGGATGAGCAGCCTCCATCCTCTGATTCGACAGATCCTGCTTGAAAGCCGCAGCGACCAGCCGATCGGAGAGAGAGAGACGCTGCTAGACAACGAGATTTACCCTTTTTTTCCGAGAGAAGAAAAGTTTCGAGGGAGAAGAAAAGTTTCCATATTGAAATACTTGTAACATCATATGATGATTAACATGTGTATTATTTTAACATTATCATAGCACCACAACATAATCCAGTTGAATGAAATTTCATGGAATGAAATATAAATTGAAACATGATTTTGAAGGATACTGAATATACAGAATATATTGATGTTCAATAGTAACTTACAAAACCTGCAGGATATGTCTCAAAAGTGATCAACACAAAATGTAAAAATAGGAGACACCCAATTTCCAAAACGCAATACAATAAGCGGCCAAATACCAAACAGTAAACAGATTATGACTAAAAAAGAAGCAATGATTTTGGGAGGTTCTGGAACGGAGGAGCGCACGCAGCGGAGAGCTGATCTAATTCCATCTCTATCTCTAGTGTTGTGCGCTTCTTTTGTTAAATATACATGTATTTAATCTTATATCAATTTTTGTTGATGTTATATAAATTCTAAAATCATGTCTAGAATATTTAAAATTATATGTCTAGAATATAAAAAAACTCATATTGAGCTAATATTGATAGTTTGAATTCTAACCACTGATAATTACTTTAAATTAATATATATACTCTAGTTTAAAACTAAATAACACATTATTTACTAATATATAATATACACAAATTTACCAATAATTTATATAAACAGTTATGGTCATATTTATAAGTATATGTTTTATGCAGAAAAGATAGGAGGGAGAAGCGGATTTATGTATTCCAAAGCCATTGTCCCTCCAAAGTTTTTTATTTTTGAGAAATTTACTCTCCTTATCACTCCATGTGAAATGTTTTTTAAAATTACGAGGTGGAAATTTATTTTGTGAGAATACGGATATTAATCAGTTTCTAAGAACTGATACATTTAGTGCCCTGCATTTTATAATTGTGGGCAAAACTTCTCGATGATCTTGTAAATCTCAATTTACTATAGTCATTAGTTGCAATTGATTATGTAATTCTCAATATCACCATTATCGGGTTTCTTCAACCAAAACGAAACAGAGCAAACAACAAAAAGCCATAACATTCTTTTTTTTTTTTTTTTATTCTCTAAAATTTCATCAAGGGTGAATAGAAGGCCACAAACGAAACAGAGCAAACAGCAAAAAAACCATAACATTCCTTTCATTCTTCAAAATTTCATCAAGGGTGAAGAGAACGCCACCAACGATTAATCTGAACGGTTTGTGCGAGCCGCCGCTTATTCGGTGTGGGGAATCAAGAGGGAACGCGACGAAGTACCTATCGAGGTCGGAAGTCGCCGGGATCGTGGTGCCGATCATCTTCACGTCAAACTTCTCGATGCTCAGAATTCATTGGAGGAACGTGGCAGTTTCTTGCTCTGGAAATGGCGCCGTGAAGAAAAACGGAGAAGATGGGGAATGGGTATATGAAGAAGGGATTGTGAAGAGTAATGGAGGTTACTTAGCCTCACCGGTGCACGACCGGAGTTTTTCTTTCAACACGCACCAAAATTCCAGTCTTGAACACGCATAAGAGTTTTGATCAGGAGATTGTTTATTTAAAGTTTATATGGGGTATATAAAACATGAAGGAGTGTAGTAAATATATACACAAGTTATACGTTAGTTATCCATAATCTATATTGTGTTTTTTTATTTGGAGTGTACAAAGTTGTTGGTTGAACTTTGTAAACTTCATGTAAAGTAGACATGTTGGAATTGATAAATTCTAAGTTCAATTCGGTGTCATGTAAAGTAGACATATGTTGTTTATCTTATGTATAACTACATTCGATTTAGATTTTGCAGTCATTCAGAATTGTATAGTATGTTTTATCTCGTTTCAGTGTTGTTTATATGTTGTTTATCTTATGTATAACTATAAGGTTAAATTACATGTTGTTTATATGTTGTTTATCTTACGTATATATACCGTGTATCTGAACATATTTTCACGATCAATTTCACTAACTCAATTTTCTTAGATTACACGGACGCTATAATTATACTAAATATATTCATAAATTAAACAACTCAGTTAGATCGATGATTTTTTTCCACAATAAACGAGATTAAAAAGTTATGAACATATGAGATTTCACGAACACTAATTTTTTTCTAGCTCGTTTTTTTTTTTTTTTTCTTCAAGACAAGGAGTCCTCTCCACGACCAATGGCCTCACCATGAGTTAAGCCAACTCAGACAGATAATATAATTATACTAAATATATTCATAAATTAAACAACTCAATTGACGATGACATATCTTTTTTTTTTTTCTAAAAGTATACTTAACTTCTTCAATTATTTTTTTTAGATAAATCGATGTTTTTTTTTTCAACTGCAAAACGCCAACGACTGAAAAGCCGTTTAATTTTTAGTATTCGTTCAACCCAGATCGTAGCTATCATATTGCTAAGAATTTTTATTTTTATTTTTTTGAAATTCCATCTTCATTCCCGTTCGTTCAGCTTAATTGATTGAACTTTATGTGCAGAGAGAATCATGACCTTTATTTGGAAAGAGAATCAACATGCCATTATTTGGAGAGAGAGTAAAGTTATATGGAGAGAGAAAGAAATCTCGTCTATGTGAAAATAAAGTGTCCATCAAATTCTTAATTGATAAAAAAATGTACAATTCGTAAATATGTAAATGAGTCTTATAGTCAGTACAGGTGTGTAAAATTCCCTTTATTTTTTAGTTATATATATATATATACTAGTGGGCTATTTAATGTGATTTCTACAAATTAGTATTCAATAATTTTATCCATCAACAATCAATTGTTCAATTTTATGTCTACAAATTAGTATTCAATAATTTTATCCATCAACAATCAATTGTTCAATTTCATCATTAATTAACTTTATTTTATGAATCCGAAAATTGTTGCATTCATCAAGGTAAGGAAAAATATTGATTTTTTCTCTTCAACTAATCATGTCAAATAAAAAATATTGTGAGGTTGAGGGGAATCTCAGAAGAGAAAATGGATTATGGGAGTGTGTGACTTGAACTATTGATTGGTCTGTGTAGATATATGTCTGCCACATTGGAATTCACAACCCAATGTGTCTTTGTTCCAACCACTGCGTAATCACTAGACAGAAGACAGAAGATAGGCTGGTTTGCTCCGAATCATCTTTGTACACGAGCAGGCTCCGTAAGATCTAGTATAAGTAAGTGAAATAGATAAAATAAAAGAGAATCTTGATCTATTTCCCTTACTTAATTAGTAAATCCAAATTTAGCATTCAAATGCCCTCAAAATACATTGTACAGTACAGAAAAGATTAAAATAAATTGTTCCACCCAAATATGAGTGGAGGCTGCCCTAGAATTTGTTTAGTCAAAAATTCCTAAATCATAATTTTGAATGTAATAACTTCATTTGTGTGTACGGGTCGATTCTTCATAATGCCACTGTCTCCTACAAATTTGCGTGCCACGTGATTCTGTAGTAGTTTCTTCTCATGTCAATGAACTATATATACTCTATAACACCTATTGTTGTATACAATGAATTCGGTCCCATGAAATAGTTTGTCTATATGTATATGCACACAATTGATGAAATAATGGATAACACGGAAACAACTATTTATCAAAATTGTAGAGGCTTCTGATTTTTCATATAACTATATTTTGGCACTACTTCTCGTGATCTATCACAGGAGAAGTTATAAAGCTTTTCAGAACTTGAAAGAGTATTCAAAAGTTAAAATAAGGGAATGCTCTCCATTCTCATTATAAGCTACTCAGAAA